TGGCACGGGGATGGCACTGCTTAGACACCATGTGATAAGGCCCCTAGAAAAGTCAGACACTGAATGCAGATGTGAAATAACAGTAAAGGCCTATTCTTTACATCCTTCTTCGCCAACTAAAAATCTTCAAGGATTTTTGTATTCAGAAAAATAATATTTTGCAGTCCATTTCAGAATCCAAATTAAACTTAAATAATTTCTAGTATGAAAAGAATTTAATGTAATGATAAGCACTCTTGTTTTGCATACAGAAGGATCTAGGTTCAGTCTTCAGTAACTAACATCAAATCATTTACTTCCAACTAATAAGAAAGTCTCTAGTAGATACCCCTTAGCAGAGATTGGAATCAAGTAGTTTTCCAGATGTCATCGGACTGCATGTCCCATCAACTCTAACCAACAGTCCATTGTGGGAAATGGGGAAAGTCTGGTCACATTGGGAAGTCTAAATGATTTCCATCTCTGCCCTAAAGAGTTGCCACAAGTCAGAACAAATCTTCCTAGCCTAGATTATTATTCAGGCCAAGATCCTCCATCAGGAGATGTATGTGTATCACATGGCTATTTCTCTGTCACTGTGTCTCCTAGTAGTACCTCCCTAAACACACCTTGTAAGCAACTCTGCCACATCTAAAACATGGCAATTTCCATGTTGGAGAGAGGGATCAATAGGCATGTTGTTATCGTGTGTCTTCAGGTCAAGGGTCAGGACCAGTCAAAAAATGGTGTTGATTATTGATAATTGTGCATGGATCATCCTACTTTCAAGGATGCCTGCTACTCAAATGAGTGGAAACTCCAAGAAACACAGAAGAAATACATGCAATTCATAAATACACATGGATCCCTGACTTAGAACCTTGTGTGCCTTTATGTCTTTTCCGACTCATGGAGACCCTAAGCCAAGCCTATCATGGGGTTTTGTTGGCAAGATTTGTTCAAAGGGGGTTTGTCTTTGCCTTCCTTTGAGGCCAAAAGAATGTAATATGCCCAAGGTAATCTAGTGGGTTTCCATGCCCAAGTGGGGATTCAAACCCTGGTCTCTGGAGTTGTAGGCCAATGCTCAAACCACTGCAGCATGTTGGCTCTCAGCAGGAATACATCTAGATATTTTCCTTTAGCTGGAAATGCTGTGACAGGCATCCTCATGGATTTCTGTGGCTTCTTAGGATACCAAGCAGCTGACACCCCTGTAGTACATCCAGCTACAGGAAAATACCTAGACACACCCATGATGATTCTCCTGGTCTCCAATAACATGGGGATAGCTGTGTTGTGGGTGGGGAGGTTGCATGTTTTACAAGGTAGGTTGAGGGATTTGGATTGTTGCCTTGCTGAAACAGAGTTCAGACATTTAGGGGGGTTGCAGACTGCCAGAAATAGTACAAATTGAGTCCACTTTTAGGGTTAGGATTAGTGCTAGGGAATCATGGGAATTGTTTTTTTGTTGTTTTTTTCTGAGACATTGAGCCTTCTCTGTCAGAGAGCTCTGGTGCCACAATAAAATATAGTCCCCATGATTCCCTAACCCTAACCCTAAAAGTGGACTCAATTTGCACTATTTCTGGCAGTCTGCAACCCCCCTTACATGATCAAACATATAAGTTCTGATGGCATACATCATCATTGTAATTCTGTAATAGAATATCAGGTATTGCTACATCTGAAATAAGTCATCTTCTTGTGGTCCCCAAACATCCTAATCCATGAACAAGAAAAAAGCTTCTGGCCCAGCCTACTTCATGGCACACTATTTTCCTCATTAACAGTGACCCCCTTGCCCCCAAAGGAAGGTGAAGTTCAAGCATAGCCTCACTAGTCTTGTTCTGACATGGTTTAATTCCAGAACTGTATTGAAACCTTTTGGAAGGTTTATTTATGATAGAAGCAAGCTTGGAAAATTTCTTTCTCAAATTAATTCATTCTCCATGACTTGATGGGTTTTTTGAAAAGTAATACATTGTTGTATTACAAAGGAATACATTTGTGCACAATCACAAAACTAGAAAAATTGGTGATAAATTCTTGTATTACTCATTCTATTTTGTTCCTTTTTCATTTTGTTTTTAAAAACAGGATTGATAAGTGACCAGACTAGAAATGTTTGTATCAAAATGCTTCCAAACATTTCAATAAAAGCAAAAGTAAAAAAAAATACTGCTCATTTCACCAATAAAGAGACATTTTTACTGCAGATAACCATGTAACTTGATGCTTCCAAGCTTGGGTTGGCACTCTTTGTTGTGTTCCACAAAATGAAAGCAAAGGCCCTGATCCAGTCTTGTCATTTATGCATATAGCCTCTTTAAAAAAGACTGCAATCACTCTGATCAGTTATTTTGGATGGATGGGGACAGCAGAAGTCTGGAGCAGCTGACATGGATGAGAGCAGCATATTTTACAAGCCTACTTCCAAAATACTCCCTGCCACTGTTGCAGTGCACATATTGCAATACTTCCTTTTTTTATTAAAACTGTAGTGCAATATTGTAATACTTCCTATGATTTATTAAAAATATTCTGAATCATTCACTTTCCTTAAGTTTTAAATACCACCAGCTGGTTCTTACCCCAGTGAGCATTAAACCATGACCAGATGTTAAACTGTAGCTGGTACTTTTAGAGGAATTCATATGGCTTCAGAAAAAGTTGTCATCATCAGGAACATTTGTTCTATCAGCTTTGGAGCTGCTACTAAATACAATATGGGACTAGACTTGTAGAAAGTTTGCTTGTTCTTTAAGTCTTTCTCCTGAATGCTAGGAGTAATCTTTCATTTTAGTCCCAAATGATCCCTACACTGTGATCCTTTCTAATAGCACTGAATGTAGCAAAGTGGTAGGTTGCTTGGTTTGTATACATGAGATCCCAGGTCCAATTCACTGGCATCTCCAGGTTGTAGTTGAACAGGACTCAGAACAATGGGTGCAAGCTCCAGGAAAAGAGATTCCACCT